ACCTCCGTCTCTCTCTGTCTGTCTCACTCTCTCTTCCTTCAAAGGATGTCACACAATAGCAAATCCATCAAAAATGTCTTCATCCAAAGGTCACCTTGGTCCATCACATCTCCTTTCGCTCTCCTCTGGGAGGGCTGGGAGTCCTTCACTCACTGGAAGGCTGAGAACTACATTACACTGCAAGCGCACTCTTTTTTCTCAGAGTCAGGGTAAATTTAACTTCACTGGGATGAAGCAAACTGTCAAAAAGTGCTACACAGCACATGTGTCTAAAATAAAAGAAACATGTTAAAGCCAAAAAAAAATGCTCTAAATTCACTTGGCTTTAACAGTTATGGTAAAAAAGCTAATTTTGGACCTTGGATATATCAGGTTATGGCATGTATATACACAGGTAGCAGCTATGGAGTAATGTGACCTCCGTCTCTCTCTGTCTGTCTCACTCTCTCTTCCTTCAAAGGATGTCACACAATAGCAAATCCATCAAAAATGTCTTCATCCAAAGGTCACCTTGGTCCATCACATCTCCTTTCGCTCTCCTCTGGGAGGGCTGGGAGTCCTTCACTCACTGGAAGGCTGAGAACTACATTACACTGCATGTATTACAATCTGAGTCAGTTATTTGTCATATTTAGTGGCTAGATAATTCAATAGGTCTCACTCCGGATTGCAGATTTAAATCACAGCTCTGTGCTGGCGTTATCTGATTTCATAAGTATCATATTCAGCTGCGGATCACATCCTGGGAGAGAGGCCAATGTCTTGTATAGACACAGTTTTATGTTTTACCAATTACCCAAAAAATCAGGATCCGCCTAAAACAGGACAATTACACTCAAGGAAAATCTCTGATAAGTGATCAGCCCTGCTGAAAAGACCAATGTAGTTGGTCCACACAAGTTCAAGCTGGTTCAGTCTGGTTAGAGATAGATGATCCCAAGCAAACCTTAGCAGTCTAAACAAGTCTTACTGGTTAAGTTAGTTAAAAGTATAGTTTATTCCAAAAAGTTCTGTTTTGTTCAAAACCATCGTTCAAATAGTTAGTACATTCAACTATTTCTTTAATTGTAATTGCATTGAAAAAAGCAACCGAAAGTAAGTCATGCAAGCTTGAAACAACATGAGTTGAGTAAATGATGTCAATTTTCAGTTTTATGTTTTACCAATTACCCAAAAAAATCAGGATCCGCCTAAAACAGGACAATTACACTCAAGGAAAATCTCTGATAAGTGATCAGCCCTGCTGAAAAGACCAGTGTAGTTGGTCCACACAAGTTCAAGCTGGTTCAGTCTGGTTAGAGATAGATGATCCCAAGCAAACCTTAGCAGTCTAAACAAGTCTTACTGGTTAAGTTAGTTAAAAGTATAGTTTATTCCAAAAAGTTCTGTTTTGTTCAAAACCATCGTTCAAATAGTTAGTACATTCAACTATTTCTTTAATTGTAATTGCATTGAAAAAAGCAACCGAAAGTAAGTCATGCAAGCTTGAAACAACATGAGTTGAGTAAATGATGTCAATTTTCAATTTTGGGGTAATTTATTCAGCACATCACCATCCAAAGCACAACATATGCTTCTAAGCTGTAAGAATCTTTTCAGCATCAAGGAGGAAACAACACATCAATAGATATTTTATTAAAACACTAGTACTTCTAAAGTCCAACCATCTGTTTTTCTTGTTTAAAGTGACAGAAGAAGCAGCAGATTGGAATGAGAATCTCAATATCAGTTTTCTCTTCCTCCTTCCCTGTATCTTTTTTTCCCTTCACTGCTGCAGTGTGCCGAGCGGTTCTCCAGCTCTGCATGACATCAAACACTATGTGGTGAGTTTCAGGCTCCAGAGGGCAGATTACAGCTTAATGCCTTCAACATCTACTGCATCAGCACTATAAACACTTCACTCTGTGTCTATGTGTGTGTGCATAGGAATACCCCATCCTCAATGCATCCTGCTATGGATTGGAAGATAAACGCACAAATCTATTGTGAAAGCATTTTGTGTGACCCCCAACAAACATTTAAAATCAATGCATGCGAAATCAATACACACTTACAACAAATCAATACAAAATGCAAAGCATTCTGCATGCACACACACACAAGTGCACAGAATGAATAATAAAACAAAAATCGGAACTATGCCCTATAGCAAATGTGCTCAACTTAAATATTGAAATATTAATGCACAAAGAAGTTCTGCAGTCTATGATGTTAATATGGATCATTTCACTTCGAGCAACTGTTATTTGCCTCCAGCAGATGCACCAGCGGCCGTTATCCAATGGGACACCACGGCTCATTAGTGCTTTCATGCTGGCCTGTGTCCATGACTTAAAACATGACTAATGACAGCTGCTTTGTGACCACTGCATACTCTACAGTCACAGCTAGGAGGCGCTACACGTCGTTATCAGGTTCAATGTAGTTTCAGATGCTACGGGTTGCAGTCCTGTTTTATTCTAATTTTATTATTGAGTTGGTAAATAAATAAATAAATAAATATTTTTTGTTTTCATACAAAATCATAAATTATAAAATTATTTTAAAAAATCAATCAATCAATGAATAAATAATAATAATAATAATAATGATGATGATGATGATGATACAGGGCTAGCTACATTGAAAAATATTTATAAAATTATATAGTTTATATTTATACATAAAATGTACATATAAATATATTTTCATGATTAATATTACTAATTTATAATAAATAATTAATTGTAACCATTTTGCATGGCTGGATTCAAACCCAGGTATGCCACATGAGCACCATGACTCAATATGCTACTTGCACTGACTACAATGCCACATCTCTAAGCCCGGTTGCTTTAAAAAATAAAAATAAAAAATAATAATAACATAACCCATATATTAAGGATTGACAATTTGTTATACCTATAGTGACTGGCCTCTAATCTGATCTGATAAGTACAATTAATATGATATATGATTGGAGCATACTGGACAATAATGCTTCTTAACTGTTTTCTGTTGCATCGAAACAGTTTGAAAGATTCTACAAGATGACAGTCTTTAAATTGGGTGTAACTCCACCTACTACACAAGAATGGGGCCTGATAGAAGACAGCTGCTTTTAGATGAGCGTTTGCAATGTTCTACTAGATAAAACACGATAAACATAAACACACACACTCACAAACACAACCAAAGGCCAAAACATTTCTCTCACAGGGTTGGTGTCAAGTTAATCTCAGATGAGTCAGAGCGAAAGATGATATACAATCCTGCTGAATGTTCAAATCAAGCCTTAGAAATTCAAACAAAGCTTTTAAGACTTTCCCATCAAAAATTAAAGCCACATCCGCAATGAAATTCATCCATCTAATACTGATCATCGACTAGCAGCAGGAGAGAAAAGAGTGGAAAAAGAGCGAGAAGAGTCGGAAAAATGGGTGGATCCATTAATGTCACAGAAACCGCTAAAGAAGATCCGAGTTTGTGTCCAGAATTCCCGTCCAGACAGCTGACAACAGTCATGCAACTTTAATATTCACAAAAACCAAAATCAGATTCCCGCAGTTTTACGCATGGGAGGACAAGTATGTCAGCTCTTGAGTGGAGAACCCAAGAAAGATCTCTGCAGTATAATTGCAGAACATTTCCTAGGGGAAACTCTTGACTCTAAAACAATTACTTTTAATTAAATCTCATTATCCATATGGATGAGAAGTTAGGGATAGGGGCTTGATCGTCATCACTTAGACACGTTAGAGCGTGCTGTCTAAACACAGTGGTTTTAACATGCCTGATCGCAATGATGCATCACTCTGATTGAATGCGTCTGGACGTGTTGCACATGTTTATGAGGATAATAACTCCATCACATTAATGTACAGCCGCTAACGTCTGATTTTCACCTCTGTTAATCTTCTAAATGGAGGACACTTTCTGATCATTAGGGAATACTGACTGGGATCAGCTCGTGCATCATACGCAAAAGGATGATGGGTAAAAATACATTCCGGCTGCAGCACAGTAGAGCAATCTAGGGTGATAGAAAAATTCAATGAAACAAAGAGAAATCAAGGTCTTCTGTGCGTGTGAAATCACTACAGCTCTACCACACAGCACACCCACTGAGGTTTCAGCTCTTCAACTCAAAAATCAAAAGTGAAAACTCTATCTTCATGGAGTAACTGTGAATGACACTCCACCCTGACACACACACACCATCAGAGACTGCAGAAAGCTCATAATCACCAGTAAATCTCTGTAACTATGCCACACATTCAAACCAGCTGACAGCAGAAGAAACAGTCTGGAAAACTGTTATGGAATCCTGGGTCATGGAAAATTATTATGAAGTCCAAAGACCTGTGGGAGTCTCACATATGTGCAGGACGGGGGTCTGTGACAGACAGTGAGATGAACGAACAGGTCTTATGCATAAGAGGCTTTTCAGAGAGAAGAAAAGGTATAAACATGCCAGATTTTTAGGCAAGATTCCTTTATAGTTATATTATTTATTATTTATCAATCATTGCCTTCTAAAACATGTATGTGACATATATATATATATATATATATATATATATATCACATAACATAATAATTGTTCATAAAGATGATTGTAATTTACGTATTTATAGATATTTATTTAATTTAGAACTGTTGAAATCAACATTAAAAACCACTGATACACACACACACGCACACTGTATATATAACTTACCAATATAGTTATCATATCATTTGACAACCAGTAGGAATTATTTTCTAAACTTTACTTCTGTTAATGGGCTCAATTGTGATTATGCATTAAATATTGAAATATTTATCTGTATTACTACACTTTGAAATACTATATCATTGTGTTGTGTATGAAATTTGTCTTGCCTGCTGATAACATAAGATGGTAATGCATTTGAATCGCACAGTAACTACTTGCATTAAAGTTTGTCTTTGTAGACTATCCAGTGTCTTCATCACAACTGTCATTCACGCTGAAATGAAGGTTTGAATGGTTCACCTACCGGATATTACTGTGTGCGGGACTCCGTTCAGATTGAACCCCTTGCTGTTGTAGAAGTGCCTGATGTCCGAGCATGTCTTGGGTTTACTGTCCCCGAACACCAGCCCGGTGAGAGCGCACAGAAGCACCAGCACGACAAAACCCATTCTGGACAGAAGAGAGAAGCTTGATGTGCGAATCAAATCCAAGGGCGAAGAGCAGCGGATAAACGCGTCCACAGCGAAGCCTCCCGTTTCCAAAAGCGCACCGGTTCGCTCCCAAGCGCAGTGTCTTATTCAGTGGCAACAGCCTGAATTAAAACGGTGAGAGATGACGGAGCGGAGTGGGAGGAATGACGAGCTCACGGGAGCGCACACTTCGGAGACGCGTCTGTGCGCTCGCGTTCGGTCGAGTGCGAGGCGGAACGGGGCGGGCGCGCGAGCGAAGGCACCATCTGCAGGGCATCGGGTTCGTCTGCCGCCGCCGCCGCGATCCTACACAGGATGTTACATCAAATCAGCCCCCTGGCCAATGAAGACGGGATTCCATTTCCCCACAAGCTCTCCTGGATGACAGGATAAGGATCTCTGAGATTCCTTATGGAATTTAGTGGGTTTGAGCCGACTTTGACATGTCTTTATGCTGTATTTGGGTCTAGTCCTAAGGGGATACAGTAAGAATTTATAGGATTCAGTTTGGAATCACAGTTTGGAACCAATCCTAAACAATCCTAAAGAAAATTTTCTTATAGGATTCCAACATGACATAAAAACTATGTTATGTTGGAATGGAATACCAGTACTGTGAAATATATTGGACAATTTTTTAAACTAAGAAGTGCACCCCGGCTGATATTACGCCTGATATTAACATCCATTTGAAACAGAATGACACTAAAACAGGTGTAAAGATGATTTGATGCGTTTTGGGATTCATTTATTTCAACGTCATTCAGAAACAGTCAAAAACATGTGACCTCAGTAGCTTAAATGTTCATCTTTTCTGATGCGTATCAAATAAAGACAGATTTTAACATTGTACAGTCATGGCCAGCTTGTAAATATTATAACTATCGGATCAACAGGGGCGGACTTAGTGATTTGGGGGCAAATTCCAGGTTTGGGGCCCCAACACAATAGCAGTGCTCTTTTACGCCTAACCCTTATTTTGCTTGCTCACTCGCTCTCATAGTTTATAGTTTATTTATCCCTTCACAACCAGTAATTAGTCAACCTGATGCTGTTCTAAAGCCATAATAAGCTACCTTATTCTTAAAAAAAAAAATTCGGATCATAAAAGAAGACGCCTATCAAATTAAAAAAAAAACGTTTTCACTCTTTTTACAGATATAAAATTATCCCATGCAACTCATTCCATATTTCAGATGTTCTGAAAGCTTATGGTAGGGTTTGCCGAGAAACAAATCGAAAATGTAATCTATTATTAAGTTAAAATCTCCAGTCATCGCATTTGTGCATTTATACCTACAAGTACCTACACGTAATCACTAAAAGCTGTCACTCACTTCAGTTCATTGCGATCTCACGACGTTCTGTTAATAAGCTCTCTACACTGCACAATGAATCTCTTATTTACGTCGTATCTACACTTTGTCATAATGAGAGGATTCCTGAGCTTGCAGAACTCATTACTTGTCAAAAACAAGTTAGAGTGGATTATAACTTAAACACATTGCGTTCAAGAAATCAACAGATATGTCTGTGATTGGCTACATTGATTAACGCCGCAAATATGTTTCGTCAATATCAGATGGGACCCCCTGGTTCCTCGGGCCCTAAGTGGCCACTTAGCTCGTTATGTCCGCACCTGCTGAACGAGAACTATATGAAAAATTGCTTACTTAAAGCAACTGCATGTAGCTTTGTGTAGGGGTGTGCCATATCATACCGTCTGCAATAATACCGGTATAAATTTGCACATGATAAAAAAGTGTCATATCGCGATATCAATGATATAGCGATGCAATTACGTATGGCGTATATACGTTCCCTAGCGCGCACAACAACAACACCACAAACCCAATAGGTGTGTTCGACTTGAAGCAGCACTGCACAGACTGATCGGTGTATGACATCAAAGTATCGCGAGAGCGGTTCAAGAGCATATTCGAGGGCACACTCTTACCTTCAAAAATAGGCAAGGCACATATCTTTAGCGAAGCGGCGTGGACGCGTCTGAAACATGCCGCGGGTCCGCTGGTGTAAACACAAGCATTGTTATTGCTATTCGTCGTAAATATCGTTATCGCTAATATTCTTGAAATATCGGGATATAAATTTGAGGGTATATCGCCCACCCCTAGCTTTGTGTATTCTTTGCGATTTGGCGCCTCCTACAGTTTAGTGAGTTCACTGTTATAAATCACTATCCCAATTATATGCATTTGTTGCTGCCGTAAAGCAATCCACTCTTTTCGCGGAATTTCGTACCCCGTTCACAAAACACATGCTTTCAGAAAAGACATTTGACAGGATAGTGTGGGAAAGATTATTAGGCCTGTAAGTCAGTGTACCATCAGACATGGTCAGGTCGAGCACACTGAATTGTGGAACACAGTGATTGGTTTTTTTGGGGACTCTTCCTTTCTACTGCCCACAAAACATCTCTCAATAAGAGAGTTGGAAGATTATATTGAATTATTTATGATGGAAATAACAGGGTAAGGTCCCAGTCTCTCTATTTCATGTTACATGTAATGCTCTGCCATATTTATTACAGTCCCAGACCGTCAACCCCTGTGCGGACAGGCCAGATCTTGACACACTTCAAAGATGCAGTACATTTTTGAACAGGCTGCAGCTCGCCTGCGACAATACACACACCCGTAGTTACTCCTCGACAGCCACAGCGTTTTCTGAGCCATTTTCTTACATGGGTAAGAAATAAATACATACTTGCATAACAACTGAATGGAGCTGCCAGGGACATTTGTGTGAGTGAACAGTGGGGTTTCACAGAGAAGCAAGCAGTTAGTTACATGCTTTGCTCTTTCTGTCCTCTAGCAGTTAAGATAATGATAATGTTGTTTCTGACTTTATTTATAAATGTAACAAATCTGATTTGTTTTTTAAAGGGGTCATATGATGTTGCTAAAAAGAACATTATGTTGTGTATTTGGTGTAATGCAATGTGTTTATGCGATTTAAGGTTCAAAAAACACATTATTTTCCACATACTGTACATTATTGTTTCTCCTCTATGCCCCGCCTTTCTGAAACGCATCGATTTTTACAAAGCTCGTCGTTCTGAAAAACGAGGTGTATGCTGATTGGCCAGCTATCCAGTGCGTTGTGATTGGCTGAATACCTCAAGCGTGTGACGGAAATGTTACGATCACACACGTCGGGCTTGAGTGAGCGGAGGCCGGCGGGCTTGAGTGAGGAACGGTCGGCGGGCTTGAGAACGGTGCGGCCGGCGGATTTGACGAAGGAGCTGACGGCGGGCTTGCGGCAACCACATGTGATGACCCCGGGCTGGACTCCGCTTCGTCCACGGTGAAAGTCGATCTGGCGATCGACAGCGCGAAGTTGATGTATTTCCTCAGCGACCAGCACGGATCAGCTCTAGGCATGACGAAGCAGATGTCGTCCTCTTTTGGAAGGCCAAACAAAGTAGTTTCACTTTCACAACAAAACACACAGCGTCTCCACGACATGGCGGCGGCGGCAACAACAATACTACAGCAAGAATAAAAGTTACGCCTTCTTTATTTGCGTGAACATTTTGGCGGTGTTATGCAAATCTTCCCACACAGTGACGTAGACATGTGGGGGAGTGTTAGAACGAGCCGTTTTAGGAGGGCGTGGACAAGTCTTAACTTTTATAAAGA